TGCTTCTCTCGTTTTGCAGTAGCTAAGCACACAAAATGGCAGTCTTTTAATCCAAAATGATTCTGATCACTCTAATGTATATAAAGATGAATGGTATCTAACAGCTGGTGAAAACAAAACCAGAATATCTTTAAGTGCTCAAGTCAGCAAAATACACTTGAACTGGATCATTTGCTTAAAAAAAGACTATTCAATGTTTTCTAGATATCTCTTTTGTCCTTTAAAAGTGCCATTTAATGGAATTTCCCTAGCTCTTTTCTCATTACAATTGTAATTTTGTTTTACATTACTATTTTTTCCACTCTCTCAACCTTATTAAACTGGCTGTTTTTGTTGCTTTACATTAAAGAATTCTTTATGTAAATGAGATCTTTGGACAAACTCACCATACAATCCTCCCGGTTTCAATTTGATTAAAAAAAGCGCTGATATGTAAATATAGGTGGTCATGTGACATCATAACCATGAAGGTATTTTAAATAGGGATCTTTGCTTTGCTTTGTAATAAGTCAATATGGTCCAATATTGATTTGGAGCCCACTGAATTTCATTGAATGGACAAAAACAGAAAATATAATCTTTTGTATTCCACTGAATGTGCTTATAGTGCTCTCAGATCTCAATCTTATCATTTTGGAGACACATTTAATGCAAAGTTTATATAAGAAATCTTTATGATTAGGATGTCACAACCCTGAGCTCATTAAAATATGACCCTCAACATTTGCATATCAGTGCATATTCAGTATTCAGCCTCTTGGCGGGGACGGTATTATGAATTTCACATGCAAAAAGTTAACCAATCAAAACAGACATGTGCATAGGCTGTTTTTGGTGGAAAATAATCATGAAAACTCAATTTTAACCAATTTGGTGCATAAAACTTTGACTAACATGTTGTCTAAGGTTAATTGTAGCAATATTATAAGGCTCTCTGTGAACTTGCAACACCGGAGACCAAATCTGGCACTGTGCATGCATGTAGAGAGAGGTGTAGAGATGAAGTCTCTCTCACCCTTGCTGTTTTACATATACAGGCGTCTTTACGTCATTTCTGCCCCTTAACCAGTTTGCAAAAAAATGTTTTCTTCATTTACCCTGCAGGGTTGGCCCTGTGTTAACATCTATATGGAAAATTAGGGAGAGTTTTGTGTGTGTGCATTGGCCTGTTTCTGTTCTCTTCAAGCATACAAACGTGCATGTGATCAGCTCCACTTTCATAGTGTCATGAAAATATTGCTGTGTAGTTTGAGCAAAGGTTGCGCACGCATGTGTTATTTTAGTGTGCTGTAAGCATGATAGCTTTTAGCTACATCAAAGCTGTCCTTTGGCATGATTGCAGACTCAAGGACAATGCATGCATGTTGTATGTGTATGTTTCAGCATACTGTGCCATACCGGTCTATGGCATCCTTACAAGCCATGACGCTCTCATTTGGCACGGATCAGTTGTTGCATTGCAGGGGAGCCAACTCGGACCAGATGGCTCCTGTGCGAGCGTAAGCCAGGCAAAATATCACAGGGTGCTGCAACACCAGACATACGCAATAAATAATACAAATATACTCGCAGACCTGCACATATTTATCACCTGTTTGTAGCCGGAGAGATTTGTGTCAGTTTTCTGATTCCCTTTTGTTAGCAAAGGGATGAAAGCATGCAGCGTGATTGGATCGGCCCTCTGGGCCTGCAAACTTGATAAGTGACCTCAGGGGATCCAATAGGATTAGCTGAGTACAACACAAGAGAAGAGAATTGAATAGAATGGTGATTTGTAGTGTCACTGCTCACATTGATTTGGCTTGTTGACTGGATGGCATCTTGAGAACTTCCTGCGTTCTGTTTATTTTAAACAACAGTGGTTGGAATGCAGCGTTTTCAGAAATTTCTGCAATGAATTGCTCAATTCATAAAGAGTGAAACTGTCCTCTCTTTTCCCTCTCTTGTTTGCTGCTAATGCACAAAAATATTCTTATTGGACACTAATGTTGACACTAAATTATTATATTTATCTTGTTTATTTATTTTTTTACTTATTAAGATTTATTCTTTTATTTTTATACTTTATACTTTTATTATGTGTGTGGTATGTCTTTAATGGCTGCTGTCCTCTGTGAGCTACCAAACAAATTTCGTTGACAAATAAAGTTTTCTATTTCTATTCTATTCTATTCTATTCTATTCTATTCTATTCTATTCTATTCTGTTTTCTTACGCAACCATATGAGCACTGCAGTCATGATGTATTTTTGTGGGCCAACCCGTAAGTTCGCAACACCCTGGTTCCCTCAACAAAAACCCAATAGGATTTTTCCATTGGCTTCGGATTACTGTAGAAAATAAGCTCTGTGACCAACAAAAGTTCATGATTCTGACGAGTTTCCCGTTCGGTTGATGAGGTTTAATGTCCCTGACAACCTCTGTAGTCCCATTTAGCCTATTGTTAGGCGACTGCCTTTTTCAAGACAAGTAAAAGCTTTAATAAAATCACATTACTGATGTATTTTATATTGTAGAATGTGAAAATATATTGAGATATGAGACTTTATTTCAGGCCTTTAACCAAAAACCCCATTGACTTCGGGACGATGGAGCCAGAAATGCTAAAATGCTAACTCGTTTCCAGGTTTTGGCCTACAAAAATGTTCAGTCTTTATAAGCCTAGACTTTGACTTACGCTGTTAGAATGCTTGATGGTCAAAGCTAACAATATGTACATACTGTACTTGATTGCAATTGGTTCTCTTTTTTGCATATATTTGCATATTTATTTATGATTGATGATCCTTTGTATCCATTTTTCGGCAGAACTCGTAAGCTGGCCAGAGTTCCTCAGAATTGGAGCACTTTTTAAATATTTTCAGCCAGAATATGATGAATATACTGTAGTACTCTCAGCCAAGATTACTCAAAAGAAAAGTGCAGAAAATTCAAAGAAAGTCTGCAGATTCTGTCTGGACCTCTCTATCACTTCCTATCCATTTTTTCCCTCTATACATTTTCTAACTATCATTTTACATAAAACTTTAAAACTATATCTACCTTCCAAGAAATGTAATTCAGTCACATTATATTAGTTAGGTGATGTGTGTCATTATTTTCAACATTAAAATTGTTCCTGTCCCAGCTTAAAATGCAGAGATATATCTAAAAGTCACGATTTCTCAAGAACTGCTGGTCAGTTAAGCAAACATTAAAAATATATATGAGAGTTATGAAGTGTTACCCAATCTATAATTAATATGTCAAGTGTGGGTGTTGTATTTGACATTGAACCATTTGCAAAGTTTAATTAAATGTAATTATAATCAACATTTATACAGGCATATGTTCTAATAGTGAGTAAATCCGTTAAATACGTGCAACGGATTAGATGTATTAATCAAAATAATAAACAGATGACTGTTAAAGCCCAAAACATGGAAATGCATCATTCTAATCACATACTGAGTGATCAGAATTTTCAGTGACACTAACAAGATGTTGCATCTGACAGGTGGGCGATTGCATAATGAGAACGAGGTGTGAGCGGAAACCAAAGCCTTACAATAAAACTGGGCTGATTGTGTGTTGAGGTTTGAGAATAGCTGGAAAATAATACTAAAAAGGAGGGATTTGTATACTTTTTGACTCAAGTATTGGCATCTTGTTGTGATTATTTTAGCTGATTAACCCCTTCACCGTCTCTGTCAAAATGGTTTTCGTTTTTCATTTTGTGTGCTGCACTCTTACTTGTAGAGACAATATCCTTCTGCCCCAGTGTCTGCCTCTCTCTCTCTCTGTCATTGGCTGCGTTCCAAACCGCATACTCAATGAGTAGGTACTTAATTTCAATAAGTACTTACTCATCGAGCGCTAAAAGAGTAGGTACTTTATAGCCAAATCTCGTTGAGTATGAATGCGAACCGGACATCTGCCATGTTGACGTTATCATGTGACCTTCTACGCGTTATCAGAAGCGCAACACCTTCATGCAATAAAAAAAAAATATGAACGATACGTTTAATTAATCTACCTATAAATATCTTGATATTGATGAAACTTGCTCATTTTGTTGTGGTATTGTTGAAGAAACAGCTGCCTATTTATTTTGTGAATACATTTAGGGTTGATTTAAGTTGTTATATTTTAAACCCTACTAATGTGAACAACAGTGTTATTCTAACGATATTTTTTTTTATTAAGAAACCCCAAAATCATCATCTCTTGATTATGTTGTTAATTTCTTTATTTTATACCCAAAAAGTTTCTCCTCTTTTTCTTCATGAATTTACCTCGTTTCATCCCTCAGATATAACAACAACTTTTTTTATGTATTATAAAGAACTATAATGAAGATATTTAGCCTTTTTTATTGTTCTTATTTCCTGTGTATAAATATAATTTTATGTCATATTATGATGTACACAAACCAATGATCTTTATATTTTCTGTTTTGTCACTATGATTGTTACATAAACTATAGTATCTTTCCATGATCTTGCATATAATAAGTTTAAATTATATGAGCGACAGGTGCTCTAAGACTTCATAACATCAGTAACTTCACAGCACAACCTAGAACAGCGCTTGTAATGTCTGCACAAAGGAGACGGGCAGCTGCTAGAAGATCTCTTTTGGAGAAAACTGTTGATTTTATACTCAAAAAATGTAAGTATCACTGCTTAAAAAATTAATATTACCTCAGAATGAATTTCATTGTTAGCCCACCCCAAAACTTAAACAAAATAATAATATTAAATGCTGACCAATACTTGTATAACTTTTTATATACTAAAAATATAATTTAATAAAACAAGCAAAATGTAATTTGTTTTGTAATATGACAGTAATGCATGAATTCATTTATATTGCTAAATGCAGTGAAACATCTCAATTGTCAGTCAATCGATGAATTAATGCATAAATTAATTACATTTTATATACTGACAACAATAAGAAACATGAATAAATGAGTAAAAGAACAAATAAAAGTAACCATCACAATAAACAAATGCATATACAAGTCAACACATGAAACAGCTTTATTCAAACTACAAGCATGTATTTACAGGCACTGAACCCCAAACCCTACTGCCGACTCAACACAGCGGTTCCCATTCTTTGATGACAGCATTCAGCATCATGAGCCTCTCTCCACTGGATAAACACACGCGTGTTCTCCTGTCCCTGTAACATACAGACAAGATTCACATTACGAGCTCAACACTGCATTTACATGTTGAGGTTGATGTGTTAACTCACTTTTAATCCAACTTAAATGTTCCTCAATATATCAACACCAATAAGGGACAAATTAAATATACATCATGTTTAGTTACTTTATATATGTTTTTATTCACAGCACATAATTTGTCTAATGTAAGCAGTGTTGACAACAGTGAATTATCCTACATAATAGCACACACATGTATTTTTCATGTTGGGATGTGCTCACCTGCAATACTTATACAATATTTTCCTTCCTGATGTAAATAGACATTTTAAATAAGCGTTTTTAAGATGTATGGTTATGTAAATACACGTTGGAAACGTAACTTTACGGTTACTGGAGCTCCCCTGTTATCAATACATAATAAAACATGTGTTTACAGCAAAATCACAACTATACTATACTGTCTAACTCCTTTAGACGTTCAACAGTTAAAACGTTTACTCTATAGTAGTTTAACACATACGATTTAAACCGTATTTACTCACATTTGAAAACCCCCGCGTCGCTTATCTCCGCGATGTTGATATTGACGTATCCTCTCTTCTTCTTCTTCTTCTTCTTCTTCTTCTTCTGTGATTTTTATTGGCAGTTTGCAAGCTATGTGCATTGACGTATCCTCTCGCGTGGCCTCCTGGGATAGATGAGTATCATGAGTAGCCGTGGAAAAGCACTCAAAAATCTGGGCGGAAGCAGTAAGCCATCCGGGAACTTCTCGCCTACTCTTTTTATGAAAACTGATGTTTGGAACGTACTGCTTCCTTCACGTACTGTTTTCGCCTACTATATAGTAGGAAAGTAGGCATATTGGAACGCACTTAAGTCCGAATCTCGCGACAATTACTACGTCACCCAGGTAATTCTCGCCTACTCTTTTGGATTCATTCATACTTTTTTGCTCGCCTACTCTTTTTCCCATACTAAATAGTAGGGAAGTATGCGGTTTGGAACGCAGCCATTCTCTTTCTGGGAGGATACTTGTTTGTTGACATGTTGATTGAATTGGTAACAACTCTTGGCAGAGCGGGTCGAGATGATGTTTCGGCACTGCACTGGCCCCGCACCTGTGTGACTGCTCTTTCAGTGCTACTCATGAACTGCTGGTGGTGTGTGTGTGTGTGTGTGTGTATGTTTGCCTCAGGGTCGAAAATTAACTTTTTGCCAGAGCTTCCAACAGCAGATGAGTGGACAAAATTGTCAGGCCATTACACACTGGATTTTTATCTAAAATTGGAACCATTTTCGTTCTCCACTTTTTTTTATGCACTTAATTTTTTTTATATAATTTTGAGCATGCCATTTATTTTTAAATTCAGAAATGACATTAGAGTTCAAAAGTTTTAGGTCAGTGAGTTTCTTTTGTTTGTTTGTTTAATGTTTGAAAGACATCTCTTATTTGATCAAAAATACAGTAATATTGTGAAATATTACAATAACCATTTTATATTTAATTAAAATTGATCAAAGCATCATTACTCAGGCTTCAGTCACACATGATCCTTCAGAAATCATTCTAATATGCTGATTTGCTGCTCAAGAAACAATATTTGATGAATAGACAGTTCAGCATTTATTTAAAATAGAAATATTTTGTAACATTATACATGTATTGTTACTTTTGGTCAATTTAATGCATCCCTTCTAAATAAAAGTTTGAAGAAGTATTTAAAAAAAAAAATATTTTCAGAACCAACAGTACCAGTGCCTAAATTCATGAAGATATTTATAATTTTTTACTACGCGTTTTTTAAATATTTTTTATGTTTACTATATTTATACATTGACTTACAACCAACAGGACCACTTAAATATTCTGAAATCTGTGAACAATATGTTAACACAGTCGAGAGACTATGAACATAAAGAGAAGAGCCTAGCACAGACGTGCCTGCAGGGCAAATATCGTACCAATAAGGCAATTAAACAACAAATAAATTTGAATAATCGAAGAAAAAAAAAATCGGCAACTGGTATCAGGCTTGTAAAAAATGGCCAAATGGAATCGTCATCATGCATCCTTACATAAGATTAATCTCCACCCGACATTTTTTCCCATGTAGTTAGGATAATATCCTACCCGATCTCACGGCAATTCATACATATTTTACAAGAGGGCGAATTTGTATGATTTTTACTAAATCGTACATATTTTACTAGTTGCCCTAATGTATGAATTTGTTCGAATGACCTACCCCTGACCCTGCCCCTAAACCTACACATCACTGGGGTTTAGACAAATTCGTACAAATTTGCCACCTCGCACTCAGTCGTATAAGTTCGTACGAATTGGTCATGAAATAGCGTCGGAGTATCCTGTTTGTACGGAGCCCTGCACATGGCATGCAGGAAAAAATAGTTGTGTGCACAATTTACTATTTCGTTCCCTCGATTTGCCAAATCGTTCGAATGATTGACTAATTTGTTCCCTCGATTTATGAATCGTGAGCACGATATAGCAAATCAAAGGGAACGAAATAGTAAATCGTGTGCACGATTTATAAATATAGGCAATGAAATAGTACATCGTGCGCATGATTTAGTAAATCTATAGAACAAATTTGTAAATCGTCCGCACGGACACGGGTATTTTTGTAACTGTGACTTTTTTTACGTGGTTCGCCCGTCCGTCCACACGGAAACGCAGTATCAGGTCAACTGAACATTTTTGAAAACCCCTGCCAGGGTGAGGATTTTCAGAAACGCAGGTTATAGTGTTGTCGTGTTGACAATAAAACATCTCAGTTACGTATGTAACCTCAGGGAACGGAGATGTGTCGTCGGGGAGTTCCCTGACAAATTGTGATTCCAATTCGTCAGGGAACTCCCCAACGACAAGTTGGAGTTCCCAGGACGAAAGGGAACCGGGGTTTTTGCTTTGCGACGCCAGATTGTGCGCCGTTATCCGCCTACCGGAACCTGTAATGACTTTTTGTCAGGGTTCTGATTGGCCAATGTGGCTTTACGGTTAGGGCTATATCGCCGCCTTCTGGTGTGGCATGCTCTTGACAGCACTTGATAGCGTGTTTTTGCGTTTTCATGTGGACAGGATTTTTTTTAAACGCAGGAGGAAAAACTCTGGTTATAAAAACACCCTTGCCCGCATGGCATGAGTTCGGCTCCGTCTGTTTGACTCTGAAATATGCCAGATTTCTAAAATAACATTGGTTGCAAATGCCATTTCATGCTAACTCCAAGATTCCCTTATTTATTCATGTGCGCACAGAGATTCGTTTAGCACGGACACCACTCGCACAGTCATACATGACGGCATCCTTACTGACCATCGGGTTTTTGCTGTGTAATCTCATTTGCAGTAACATTTCTCTATATTCGCCTGTTCAGTCACTGTGGCGACTCAATTATTTGAAGCATTTCAGGCCTCCTGTCAGAAGCGCTGTGATTTCGTGGGCTGGTAGAGTAACAGCCTGTCTAAAAGGTTGTTTATTGGAGTAGCACTGCTTCCCAAAATGTGATTAAGTGAGGCCAACTGAAAGGCAGAAGGCAATGAAGTAAATATACACTGGACATAAAGGGGAAAATATCTTTGTACAGTGAAAAATAGATGTTGAGGTCACTGGAATTGAATCGCTGCAAAACCAGGGTTTCTTGAAACTGATGGTATTTGGAGCTCAAGCCGAGTGATTGTGTGCTGGAGTCTTGCTGCGGACTGCAAATTTGTGAATGCGCTTTTGGCAAGAAAGGACCCAACCTCCGCTTTGTGATTAAAGAGCTTGATTCTGCAAGGCAGGCCGATAAAATATTGATAGGGAGGTTCAGCGGCGCTCGTCCCTAAATCGTTAACATTTAACGAGTTTATCACTGCTTTCGATATGAGATCCTTGATCAAGTCACCCAATTTCTCCCGAATGGAGGCGGGATATGTCTCTTCAGATTACCGTCTTCCCTTTTGTTCTTTCTGCTGTGTTATTCTGGGAATTATGTGGCACTAGTGTAGGGGTAAGCAGTCCTGGAAGTTTTAGGCCTGGTTTCACATACAGGGATTACTTGGATTAAGCCATCTTGGACCTTAATTTTAGTAGCTTTCATAGACATGTCGTAGAAAAAAACATTACTGGTGAGAATCTTGAGACAAAACAATATGTCAGTGCAAATTTATTTTAAGTTAAAACTGCTCAAACATGCATTTTAGTCTGGGACTAGTCTTAAGCCTTGTCTGTGAAACCGGGGGCCTCACAAGCCTCAAAGTCTTCGGTTAACAATCAGAGCTAGGAGGTCCAAAACAACCAAGGAAAAGAAAACACCTGTAGAAATGAAGGTGAAAGATTGATGCTACCAGAAACACACACTGATAAGGGTGCTCTGTGGTAGTGGGGGTCTAAACAGTCCAAATTTTGGCTAAGTCCCCTCAATCTGCTAGACTTGCCGACTGGAGCTTTAACATTAACCTTGTTGTAAAGTGTAACCAAAATCTTGACGATTCCCAAATTATCTTTCACACAGTAAAAGTCACACCGTTCACCTGGTTTTAGTTGCAAGCTAAAATGACACAGGAATTATTTAAATTCCCTTTATTTTGAATGCCGTTAGCATGTTATGCTAAAACTAGCAAACATGGCCTCTGAGGTTCTGAATCCGTGAGAGTTGGCAGAGGTCAAAAACCATTTGTCTCCGGACTAGATTGCTGTTATGTTATGCAGACGGCTCTATTCATCAGACTAATGCTTCTGAAGGGGTCGATGCTGATACGTTTTACGCAGATGAATCTGACCGCAGAATTTCCTGCTCGTCCGGACTCCTTCCTGTGTGCGAAAGATAGCCCTGATTGGCTGGCCTGCATTGATTGATTGATTTAATTGGTCTCCTCTCACAGGTGCTAGGAAATATGTGACTCAGTGGACAGGAAGGTTCATAATTAAATTATGGCATTGTTCTTCTTTTATAGCCTTAATCATAGAGGCCCAGGGCACTTCAGTCTTTAAAAGTCAGCTAATGTTGGAGACTTTATGATCTAGCCAAGTCATTTTTTCTTTTTTTCTATCTAGACTCCTAGACTTGCTTATCTGTTTTTACACTGCGAACGAGCCACAAAAGGCCTTATTTTTTGCCCATTAACTATTACTAAATATTAAAGGGGCAGTGAGCAATTTCTGAGAAACATTGTTGATATTTGAAATCACCAAAACAAACAACCAACCCAAAAGGATCCCACCCTTATCTTGATAGCCCCACCCCCAAATTCACAAACACGCTATGCAACATAAGCGTCTCCCCCCTAAGTAGTGTATACCCTTACTGCCGATTGGCTACAAGTGCGTTTGGATGCTCGGTCTGATCCACTTTCAACAGCATTTCTCAGAAATCGCTTATTGCACATTTAACTTACAGATCTATTTTTTTTTAAAATAATAATACAGTAATTTTTGTGCCCAAAAAAAAAATCATGGAAATAATTTGTCATTTTTATCCTATTGTTTACTATATTTGGTTATTTTGCTGTTGTAGGCCTTTTGAAATGATCAAATTTAAATCATTTGGTGAAGTGATATGGAACTGTAATGCGGTCAAGACATGCCGGAACTACTTTAGCCGTGCGTTTCCCTGAAAATAATTGCACACCTTAGAATGTTCTTTAACCAATCAGATTCAAGCATTCAACAGCCCCTTGGTATAAGTTCTAATATGGATCTCACTTTAGGGGGGAAAAAATCCAAACTGTTCTTTTGAATGTCTTTGTACAGTATTGCAAAAAGATTTGTCTTCACTTGATAAATTAGTCAAGCCAAACCCATTCATAATAAAGGGTTCTCCACTTTTAGCTCAGAGCTGCGTCATTATATTCAGATGAACAGTCAAATGAATGCTCTTCTGACTCATAATGTCATCCTGAATGTATTAAGTCCTGCCTGAGCTGATTGGCTGATGTAAATCTACTCGAACGTGATTGGCCATTTTAAAATAGCCCCCAGTCACAT